AGAATGTGTTCTCGTCACTCAAGAGATCGCGATAGACAAGTCACACCGTCACAAGTTGAAAGTAGAAGCTTCAGGACAGAAGATACACAATTCGATATTATATATAGTATAGATGACCTTATATAACTCCTTACAATTACAACTTTCTCTTAAACTTTCTCAATTACATTTCTAATTACAGTCCTCAATTACAATTCTAATAATCAAAGCCAGTATATGGGAATGTTGGGGCCTTGGTAGATCTCTCACATGGGTTCTTTAGTTATATATATATAAACCTTTTTTTTTTTTTTCTCCTTTAGTTATATATATGCATTAATTCACTTTGGATTTGATTGAATTAGATAATTTTAGATTGGCTTTTAGTGAGGCATGATCCTTCAAACATGAACACTCTTGTCATTAGATCCTGCATTGGGGTGCAACCTACCCACCTTCCCCCCCCACCCCCACCCTTTTCTCTCACAATGTACATATATATATTATTGTTTTGAAGAAGAAAAAAAAGGAAAAGAAGCAGTCTTGACTTCACATTGTCTTGATTATTTTGTTTTAATGGAGCCCAAACATGTCTGAAACTAGCTGACAGAGTACAGCTAAGTTATAAGGGACTGACTTGGATCCTTTGAAGTCTATGCATATCTATACTCTTATTTCCACATTTCACTAACTCAGATTTCAGATGGCTTAATTACATTGTGCTCCTATCTAAAAGAACAATCCTATTAAATTTTTAACATTCTAGCATGTTCATTTTCATTCATTATTAACTACACCCAACACGAGAGGGGAAATTAAATCATTTTCACTGAACTCGTCATCATCATTTTATCCAAACTGAAGTAGAAACCAACCATCCAGCCAAAACTGAATGTTACCTGCTTTTGTAATGTAGCTTTCACTTTCTCTATTTTTGTCCTAACAAGTTCAATATTTGGAATTGACAATTTCAGAGATGACAATGACAGGAAGAAAAAAAAAAAAAAAGAGAAAAAAAGAGCACCGCAAACTCTTAAACAGGCTTTTGTTGGTACAGAAAATCCTATTTTTTTTAGTTTACGTAATTGTGTAATTACTAGGCCTATTTGGAAGTAGTCTCATAAAAGAGTGAGTAATAATAAAAATTTTAATCATTAATTCACCTCTTAAAATTTGAGCACACTGCCAATTGGTTGTGTGCGATCAATTCTTTCATCCTAAATATTCACACACAAAACACCAAGAGATCCCAACAATAACACCGGACAAAATGTGTAGAAAATTAGTGTGCGACTGAGATCTATTTTTTATAGTGAAATTTAGATATGAAATTAATCTCAACCATTGAATATGTTGTTTAGACATTTTTCTGAGTTAATTTTGTGTCCAATTACTTTTCAATGTGAATTTGTTGCTTGTTAAAAAAGTCAAAGAGTAGCTTGAGTTTGGGGACTAAGGCCTATTTTGAAAAGTAGAAAAAAAAAAAGTTTATTTATTTATTTATTTATTTTTGGTTGAAAAAACGGACAAAAAAAAAATGAAAGTAAAGAAGTGATGCGATCTAAATAAGTCAATAAATTGGCTTTTTTCTTAATTGTCAAAATAGGTTTTAGATATTTTAACGAAAAAATTAAAAAATATTATAAATTGTCATATCATTCTTTTATTTTTTTACATGTTTTTTTATTAAAAAAAAATTATTAATATTATCTGTTCTGAAACGAAGTCGTAACTAGGTGAGAAGGGGGAGAGAGAGAGGGAGGGGACTAGCTGATTTTCTTGACAACTTGCTCTTAGGCTAGTCATTGATGACTTGGAGCATTTTCAACTTTCAGAATGGCTGAAATTTTTTTATTTTTTTATTGTTTTAATTTTTGGGCTGGTCAATATTGGAATTTGAATGTTGAAACAAGCCCAGTCCCCCCAAACAAATGCCTTACCATGTGGAAGAGAGGTAACCCGGCTCTGTGCTCTAATTATTATTATTATTTTTTTTTTGGGACTTTTTAGAGAAAAAAATCTAATTCCCAAATAATTGGTTTGTTGGTTCTTCCCTCCCTGCAACACAATTCACAAAATTTGACCAAATGCTTACGAAATTTTAGGGAAAGTGATAGGGAAAATAGTCACATAATGTATGAATAAAACAGTGCAAAAAAGATGGGAAAGACTATCATCCACATTTTTAAAAAAAAAATGTACTAAATGCACCTAATAATTATAGAAAAAATGAGATAATTTGATATTTATTGAGTTATAATTTCTTTTCTTTTTAAGAAAGTCATAACTAAATATCTCAAAATAATATCATAACTAAAGAAAAAAAAATTGATCATAACTAAAAATAAAATGACATAATTAATAGTGCATACGGTATGAAGGTGTATAAAATAGAATTCTCCAAAAAAGATAATTAGAGAAAACATGATAAAGAAGGAGAGATTTGTTTTAAATATTCTAATAGACAATCATATCATTCCATTTAAAAAATATATCTAACTTTTGAATTAGAGTAAAAGGCCTAATTACAGGGGAGTAACCTCTAGGGCCAGACCTTATAACGAGCTGAGACTCCAGAGGTCATTCTTAGGTGGTTGCTACATAATAAGGTCACTCAACCATATAGCAGTAAGTCACGAATTCACACACAAGCGAAGATTCAAGCCTACAGTCCTAACACCGAGTACGATTCGCCCAAACCTTTCATTTTACCAATCATATGTGTTGTCACCCTGATGGCTAGTCCCCGAGAGAGTAGAACCTATCATTACTATTTGGCTCAATTTTGAGCCTATCACTTCGTAATAAATAGTCCATTAAAGTATCTTCAATTATACAAATGATACTGTCATATCATTGTGATAAAAAAAGATGACAAAAAAATTGGCCAGAATACCATTTTTCTTGCACTTTAAATGGAATCTATATTTTATGGTTCACACACATGTCAGGTGAAGAAAATAATTTTGGGGACGAAGGGCTTTAACATTCTTGTCATCATTTGAAAAGGGCCACTGAAATTGCATTAATTGAAAGCATCTTGCTTCGCATGATTAATCACTTCTTTGTTTAGATCTAAAACAAAGCCCTAAGCACTTAATGAATTTCAATTGCACCCTTACCTTACTAGTTTATATTTGGCAGAAGAACGAACTATTGTTCCATTGTTATGTGAGTACTGCTTTCAATAGAGAATAATAAAAATTATTAATACAAAATAGAATATAAAGACTATATACAGAACACATCAGTAAAAGAAGGCCAAAAAAATAATATTTTTACTAACAAGTCTACATGCATGCATCTCTCTATATATATGTACTAGTGGGCCTGTGTTTACTCATGTTTTTAAATTTGTAAAATATAAATTTTGATTTAAAAATACATATGTTGTTGCCGCTCTAGTAATAAAGATATAATCTAAGGTTCAATTCTCATTCTCCGTACTATATATATATATATATATATATTTGTCATTAACATTTATTTACAATATTTGTGTGTATAGATTATTAATAAATAATTAATTGATTAAATAATCGTGATTACATGATTTTATCATATTGTATTTAAAAAAATAAACAAGCAATTTTGAAAATAAACAATCTATTTTTTTAGATAAAAAAATGATAAAATCATATTATTGCAATTATTAGATTACTATATTTTTTTATAGATGATTCTCACACAAACACCTAAATATCAACGAACCAAATTTTCAAATTAGAATCTGGAGTGACTCTATAGACTTGATCGGACGATTTAGTTCTTTTAAAGGATCGGAGAGAAATCTCCCCCTCCGTGTATTTAGCGAATTTGAACAATTAACTTAACTCTCTAACATACGCGAGAATGTTGAGTGCTTAACAGTTATTAAAACATTTTTTTGCCTAATTGTATTCAACTTTATTCCAAATTGAAATTGCTATCCATGCCACGTAGTGATTCTTCGAAACAGGAGAAACGTGAAAGGAAGGAATAATAAGAAGATAGAAAATACTAGATGGTAGCACCACGTAAATACATTATTATTGTAGAGCAAAAAAATTTAGTGTAGAGAATCTAAACATAAAATCGGACTCATTCCTGTTATTTGAAGTGGATCTTACCAAATGTGCAGGTCTCGTTACAAATAAATTAGTTGAGTTTAATTTTGTGTTTGAATTTTGGGCTTATAGAATAATTATCCTATAAAATCACATCTCATATAAATTTTCTCATGAACTTGTATTAAAAGGTTGAATAAGCTGGAAACAAACAATGGATTAAAAAGCAAGACCAGAAGTTTTTCAAAACAAATTTAAAAAATAGTAAATAATTAATCCACATTATAAAAGATAGAAATATAAAAATGCTAATGAATCATGAAAATTTATTTCAAATCTTACTCCGAAATTGTGCATGTGATGTAACCATAAAGTCAGTGAAATATGGATCACCCTTACAATAAATGTAAGCCATTGATTTTTTTCTCTGAGTTTTTAGTATTGCTAATAGAAATATACAGAGGTAATATGAGGCTAATAGAAATATATCAACTCTTTCTACCTGATTTGAAGAAACTCGATTTACAATTTGGTAACTGAGAAAACATCAATTGATGCATCAAAATTTTGACGAAATTTTAGAGTTGATATAGTGCTTCCCTCCTAAGTTTGAAACATTTACAATAAGAAAGAAATAAAATAAATGATTTAATCATGCTAGAAATAATAATGCTAAAAAATAATGCCAGGAATAATATTTTACAATAACAAAGAAATAAAATAAATGATTTAATCATACCTATATTATTTTCAATGTCTCCTCTTCTCCTTTCCCATTTCTCATATTTACTAATAAATTTGAAACTTTTTTTTATTTTCATATCTTATCTTTTGACAAAAATAAAATAAAATAACCATTATATGATGTTCTTACCAAGTGTCGAAAAAATTACTATTTCAACACAATTCTAGGTGTATGTTTCAATGTTTCAGCTATAAGGGGAAAAAAACAAAATCTTGCTAGAGAGAGGGGACTAAAACAAATCAATTGGACATCAAAATGTAACAGATAAAAAAAAAACCCTTCCTTTACAAAGCTGCATAATCATCAAGACTGCATAGCCCATTTACAAAAAAACATTACCTCCCCCGGTCCCCCTCCTCTCTCTCTCTCTCTCTCTCTCTCTCTCTCTGAGCTTAAAACATATGAGAAGAAGGAGAGAGGAGGCAAGGTTTCAAATAATTCACATTTGGCAGCATTGGCCTTGTCTGGAACCCAACACTCACACTGTTATTGTAATTGTTACAGTTATTATTAACCCCGCCAGCTTGTTCCAAACACTGCACTTGCTTCTTCAAGAACTTCACATAATGAATAGCTTCATCCAACATCGAAGCCGTGTCCATTTTAGCCCCTCCCGGAACCAATCTCTGCAGTATCCTCATCCTCTCGCTTATCCTCTCCCTCCGGTGCCTCGCCGCCACGCTCTGCGGATCCTTTGATATCTTCACGTTCCTCCTCTTCGGCGGCTTCACTGCTTCCGGGTCTATCTGAATTGGCTGCATCACTGCCATCCGAAATATCATCTCTCTCATCGCTTCCATGGAGTTTGAGTTTCTTTGAGTGATTCTGAATCTTGGAGGACTTGACTCTTCAACTGGGTTGGTTAAGAATGGAGAGTTTAGAGATGGGTTTTGGAAGAGGGGTGGTTTTGTGGTGGTGGTTTCACTGCTGGTGGCGGTGGGGCTTCCGCCGGATAATTCGAGTTCAGGCGATTGAGAAGTGTTGCTGCTGTAAGGACCATAGAGTTCAGGGAGAGTTTCCAGCTGCATCATCATCAGTTCAACATCCATGAATTCTCACTCTTTTGAGAGACAGAGAGAGAGTTGAAGAAATGGGGAACAGAGGAAGGATGGGGAAGCCAAAGAGAAGAGGGATTGAAGAGTTAGGGTTTTATCACAGACAAACCTGTATAGGAATATGTCAGTGGAAGACTATATATAACAAGTTGTGACCAATATTATATAATTTTGTGTACTGTGCTAAATTCTTTGTACATTTTCTTTTCAACCAAAATAAATAAATAAATAAATAAATATTTTATTATATATTTATTCTTCCCCCCTTTTTTTATCAGTATTTTTTTTTTATTATTGATGATATCAAATGTAATACATTATAACACATCGATAAAAGAAATGGCCAAAACAAAAAGCATCTCAATACCAACTATTTATTCTTTCACTCTTTGACAATTACAGTTGCAAAGTTGTTTCAACTCCTCAATGGAGAATTCATTATATTTGATTCAAAATAATGTTAGGTATCATGAAAAAAATATTATAAAATACATTATGAAAATTTTTTATCTTTTGATTAGTGTGTGGTGTTTTATTGTGTGTGTAATCTAAAGGTGAAATTTTTTTTATGATTATTTTTATGATATATTTTTCATGATTCTTAACATTACTCTTTGATCCATGATCCATACCATTACTATGCTGGGCTACCCCCACCCCTCTCTGTATTGTATATAACTAGAGAAAATCTTCTCTCCAGTTTACAACTGTGCAGTCCGGCCAGTAGCTTCTATTATTTTACGTAAATTATGCATAAAAAAATTAATTGATCTAATAATAATAATTACATGACTTATCAGATTTGTCTAGAAAAAAAACATTTATTTTTAAACACATATGTATTGTCTATTTTTTTTACATATAAATTTAATATGATGAAATGATGTATTTATAATTATTAAATTAGTTATTTTTTTATACATAATATATGCACATAATCTTAAAAATAAATCATAGGAGGAATAACTCAACAGTGAGACCGAAAAAAGAAAACTACACTAACATGGAGGGCTTTGCGCCCCCACAAAATTTGAGTCTCATTCCATCATAAAATGAGTTGCACCAATTATATTTGTATAATTTTTTTCTCTGTCCCACTATTAAATAATTCTTTCTAGATAATAAAAGCAAGACTCGTAACAAGTCCACGAGGCAAGACTGCACAGTCGGATCCTTCTCCAAAAATTATTTAGAAAATGTATAGAATTCGAAATGAATAATCATATTATTCTAATTATTTCACTTTACATTTAATTAAAATTGATATTATATTTTAAGGTATCGTTTCATATTGGCTAAGCCTTGGTTTGACAATAATTTTTTTAGTTAGTTTTTTGACTTTTTAAAACTTTTTTAGCTTGAAATTTTTTTCTTTGTTTGATATTTTTGACTGGCTTTTTGAATTTTTTAAATTTAAAATGGTGGATTTTTTTTTTATTCTTTTGTGATTTTTGCCTTCTTGTGATGTTTTGACTTTTTTTTGTCATTTTGTGTTTTTTTAACCCAACTCAAAAACCAATCAACCCCTAATATAGCCAACCTTTTTTAGCTTGGGACATTTTTAGCTTTGATTTTTATTTTGGGACTTTTTTAATTTTTATGAGAGAAAAAATATAATTATTATGGATAAAAAGTGATATTTTGTCTTATTGACTTATATAGCTTATTTTATCTTTTTGTGCTTTTTTAGTCCCAAAATCTTGGCCAAACGAGCAGTTAGGAGTGATTTGGGATTATTTAAATAAGTATACTTTTTGACTTGACTTAGATAAGATGATAAGGTATCGTTTCATATTGGCTAAGCCTTCGTTTGACAATAATTTTTTTAGTTAGTTTTTTGACTTTTTAAAACTTTTTTAGCTTGAGATTTTTTTCTTTGTTTGATATTTTTGATTGGCTTTTTGAATTTTTTAGCTTTAAAATGGTGGATTTTTTTTTATTCTTTTGTGATTTTTGCCTTCTTGTGATGTTTTGACTTTTTTTTGTCATTTTGTGTTTTTTTAGCCCAACTCAAAAACCAATCAACCCCTAATATAGCCAACCTTTTTTAGCTTGGGACATTTTTAGCTTTGATTTTTATTTTTGGACTTTTTTAATTTTTATGAGAGAAAAAATATAATTATTATGGATAAAAAGTGATATTTTGTCTTATTGATTTATATAATTTATTTATTTTTTTTTTGTATTTTTTTAATTCCAAATTATTAGCCAGACGAGCACTAATTTTAAGCACTTTAAATATATTTTTTTAGTGCATAATATCTTTTAAATAAAAAAATAAATATTCACAATAATCTGACACCTTTCTTTGCTGTTTTTATCATTTAACTTTTCACAAAAAAGAGTGAGTGCAAGTAGGTGATAAGTTTGAAAGACTTGACCAAGAAAGAACATCAACAGTCGGATCTAATACCATTGATGAGTTTGACGGTTGAGATTTTGATCATTAAATTTAGATTTGGGTCCACAATTTTGAGGGCACGGATTAAAGGGATTAATAATCGGGTAAAGGTTCATGAACCATGTGTCTTATCTCCCCCTCATAAAAGTTGGGGATTGTTTGGGTTGTAAAGCCATTATTTGCTTTTTAACACAAAATTGATGCATAAAAAACTCCAAAGGAAGCCCCCACAGTCACATGACATGTGTCAGAACTACAACCACCCAAATTCAGAAGTGGGGTTCTTTGCTACTCTTCGGTGCGCCCTCATTGTTCCCTCGGCACGCTTCTCAAGGTCGATCAGGGACCTACTAATAATATATTCCGAGGTAAATCATAATCATCTAATATCATTAGATTTTAAAAACTTTACATAAATTTGATATAATTGTATAAATTTTTCTTTTAATAAGGTCTCGTTTAGAAATAAATTATTTTAATAATTTTTTAATTTTTTTATAAAAAAATATATATAAAAAAAAATGATATAACAACTTATAATAATATTTTCACTAAAATATATAATTAACACACAAGGCTTAAGTTTAAAATAAAAATAATTAATATAAATAGTGTGCAGATATAAGAATAATCAATGAGATAATATAAATTTAATTATAAAAGACATGTGTTTGGTTTGTGTTTGTAGAGTAATTTTTAAGATAAAAAGTATGAAAACTTATTTGGTTTGCTTTTTTTCAAAAATGATTTTGAAAAATTATTTTGGAGAAAGAGTTTTAAAAAAAGTGATTGATTTGATGTGTATGAGAGAGAGTGATTTTGGAAAGTAGATAACCAAACAAAATTTTGAGATTTTTTTTGAAAAATTTTGTTTGGTTTAACTACTCTTAAAAATTTGTTTGTAGAGAATTTTTTTCAAAATTTTTTTTGAAAATTAAACCAAACAAGCCCAATAATACTATCTTTTCTATTTATATAAGAAAAAAATATTATGTGAATGACTAAATTGACGAAATTTAGGGATGAAATAAGGAAAAAATGAAGATAATTGGGGTAAAAGTGAAATTAATCCTTTATAAGGTTTGATTATGGTCGTTAAAAAACAATACAAAATGACAATATTTATACTTGATTATATTTTTCATATATTTGAAAATATTTGTTTTTCACATTTATCTTATAATTTAACAAGAAATTTAGGGTTCGTTTAGAAATTGACTATTTTAATTAATTTTTAATTTTTTATAAAAAGACATACAACAAAAAATAAAGATAAAAATTATTTTTTTAGTATTAATTTTTGAACTTTTCAACTATTTTCTCATTTTCCAAACAATCCCTTAGTTCAACTGTACAAGATTGAAGTTGAGTAAATGAGAGATTGCACCATAATTTGTCCTTGGCATCAATTATGACTTGCTTAGTTCAACTGTACAAGATTGAAGTTGAGTAAATGAGAGATTGCACCATAATTTGTCTTTGGCATCAATTATGACTTGCTTTGACAAGTTAGTAAAAAGTTAGTTTTGGATTTTTTTAGTTAAAAAGATTAGTTTTTTTACTCAAGTCACTATCTAACAAACTAATTATTTTGATTACAAAAATCAAAAATATATTTTTACCAACTTCTTAAAATACCACTATAACAAAGTCCACGGAATTTTTACTGTTGAACTCACATGAGTACAGATTGTTTTCATAGATTACTTACTCACACACACTGACAGTCTGACACCAGGGGTGATCGTTTCGACATTCAAACCTTGGTGAATATTTACAAGGACTTGGTGATCCGTAGGCTTCTTGGTTAAATTAATCATAAAAATATAAAGTAAAATAAAATATTATATTTAAATTATACTTATTTTATTTTTTTTATAAAATTAAAAAAATTAACCAAAACAAATTTTTTAACTTAAAATAGTCAAAAAATCAAAAAATTAACACAACTTTTCAAACAAAACCGCAAGAGGTGTAGTCGGGCGCTGGGGGGGGGGGGGGGTTTTGTGGCCAAGAAAGTTTCATAGCAAGGTTCCATCAGGTTCAATTTTTTCGGGAGTTAGTCATTCGTTCGACAGTAAATATAATTAGTTGGACAAATTTTTTAGATTTGTATGAATCGTATCTGGTGTCAGTGTCAAGGGTGAGAGTTCAAATTACTATCTGTGTATAAGTTTGTGACTTATCATTGCATGATTATTAAGGATTATTTTGAATATGATTTATAAATTGATTTTTTTATTTATTACGAAAAGACGTACAGAAAAATAGAAAATGATATAATCTAAATAAGTCAATAATTAACTTTTGAGCAGTGCTAGGGGCCTTGACAAATTGAAGCACGAATGCCTTGAATTGTTTTTTGTTTTTTTTTTTTTTTGGAATGATGGTTAGGTGCAAGGGTATGTTAAAAAACAAGGCATTCTGCACCAACTCAATCTATGTAGTTTGATAAGATGAATGAGCTGGGTTGAACTGGTTGGTTGATAAAATTGACTGATCAGTTAGGCTGCTAGTTAAAATTTGTTAATTTCATATAATTTTGTACAAGCCCTTATTATATTTTTATTTCAAATCAGGAAGACTCGGAGGAAATTAAAATGGCTTTGGTATTGTGTATGTAGAAAAAAATGCTATATGAAATTAACAAATTTTAACCAGCAGCTTAACTGATCAGTTAATTTTATCACCTAATCAATCCAATCCAACTCACTCAAATTATTAAACCATACAGGTTGAATTGGTGCAAAATGTTTAATTTTTTGACACATCCCTACATATAACCACCCTTCAAAAAAAAAAAAAAA